GGGGGACGCAGCAAGGGTTCGGAGATGCTCTGTTCACCAGGGAGCCTCTTGGGGTAACAAGGAACAATGGTCACAAACTAACAGAGCAGATTTTGGCTAGATATCAGGAAAACTCTTTCACAGTAAGGGTAGCCAAAATTTGGAATGGGCTTCCAAGGGTGGTGGTGCTCTCCCCTACCCTGGGGGTCTTTAAGAAAAGGTTGGATAGGCATCTGGCTGGGGTCATCTGACCCCAGCACTCTTGGTCAGCCTCGATGATCTATTGAGGTCCCTTCCGACCCTAGCATCTATGAATCAATGAACTGTAATAGCAACCCCTATGCTTTCTTACAAGTTCTTACAATACAACCTGGCAAGTGGTTCCTTCAGACATTACAAGAGTGACCTTTGGTGGTACTGGTCTCAGATCCTCCGCTGGGTGTGTGGGATGTTAGTTTCTGAAATCCCTGTTGTTCGAACAAGAATTCCAAGGCTGCTCCTGTCTCCCCGGGGTGGCAACACAAAACACACAGCTGCTCCTTTGTTTGTCCACCACTTTTGTAACTTTCTCGCCTCAAATTGTCCAATCCTCAAGTTTCTTACCGCATCTCTTTAGATAAGGTACCCCAATCCTATTCCATTTTTGATTTCCTTTCCTTTTAGGGAAACTACTGTACCTGGTTAGCCCACCATACCAATCACAGCACTCACTTTGCCCACTGCCCTATAAGGTACTCTGTACAGCAACCCTGGACTTCAGGAGGGCGGATTTCAATGAGGTAAGGAGACTAGTCAGGGAGGCACTGAGGTCCCGGAGGGGAGGGGAGTCGGGTGTCCAAGAGGAGTGGTCGTTCCTTAAGGAGACAATCCTCCAAGCCCAAAGGGAGGTAATCCCAACACAGGTCAAAGGGGGCAAGAGGGCGCAAAAGCCCCCATGGCTCACCAAAAGCATACAGGAACATCTTCTAGCTAAAAAGGAGGCGTACACCCAATGGAAGGTGGGGGGCCATCACCAGGGAGGACTATACCTCTGTTGCTCCTCAGGGTTGTTAGCAGGGTGGTCAGGAAGGCCAAGGCGGAGATGGAACCGGGACTAGCTACCCAGATCAAGGACAACAAGAAGTTCTTTTTTAAATACATAGGGGGTAAAAAGGTACCAGGTAACGTGGGGCCTCTGCAGGACATGCTCGGAAACCTGGTCATCACACCAGACGACAAAGCTAACCTATTTAACAATTTCTTTGCCTCCATCTTTCTGAGCAGGGACCAGGTCATCCTCCACGCCGGGACCCCTATAGGACCCAGGGGAGGCGCACCCAGGCCTAGGGTCAGTGAGGATCTCGTCGGGGAATTTCTGGAGGGACTGGACGTGTTCAAATCAGTAGGTCCTGATGATCTCCACCCGAGTGCTGAGGGAATTGGCAGACGTCATTGCGGGACCCCTGGCACGGTTTTACGAGCACTCCTGGTGCTCTGGCGATGTGCCAGAGGACTGGAAAAGGGCCAATGTGGTTCCCATTTTCATAAAAGGGAGGAAGGAGGACCCAGGAAACTATAGGCCTGTTAGTCTTACCTCGGTCCTGGATAAGCTTTTTGAGAGAATTATCCTGGAGCATGTCCGCAAGGGGCCAGCAGGGGAGATTATGCTTAGGGGCAACCAACATGGGTTCATTAGAGGCAGGTCCTGTGAGACCAACCTGGTGGCCTTCTATGACCAGGTCACAAAATCCTTAAACTGGGGTATAGCCATGGACGTAGTCTTTCTGGACTTTAGGAAGGCCTTCAACACTGTCTCTCACTCCATTCTCATTAAAAAACTAGGAGACCGTGGCGTCGACACCTGCAGTCAAATGGGTCACTAACTGGCTGGAGGGCCGCACCCAGAGAGTGGTGGTGGACGGGTCCTATTCGACCTGGAGGGATGTGAGCAGTGTGGTTCCCCAGGGCTCAGTCCTCGGGCCTCCACTGTTCAACATCTTCATCAGTGACTTGGACAGGGGTGTAAAAAGCACCCTGTTCAAATTCGCAGATGACACTAAGATATGGGGAGAAGGGGGCACGCTGGAAGGGAGGAATAGACTGCAATCAGACCTAGACAGGTTACTGGGTTGGGCAGATGAGAACAGGATGGGTTTCAACACTGACAAGTGCAAGGTACTGCAGCTGGGGGGGAAGAACCAGCAGCATACCTACAGCCTGGGGAACTCCCTTCTCGTTACTGCAGGGGCAGAAAAGGATCTTGGAGTCATTATTAATGCCAAAATGAACATAGGTTGACAGTGCAGGGACACGGTCAGGAAGGCCAACCGTACCTTGTCGTGCATCCACAGATGCATCTCAAGCAGGTCCAAGGAGGTGATCCTCCCCCTCCTATGCAACACTGGTCAGGCCACAGTTGGAGTACTGCGTCCAGTTCTGGTGCCGCACTTCAGGAAGGATGTGGACAACATGGAGAGGGTCCAGAGGAGGGCCACCCGCATGATCAGGAGTCAGCAGGACAGGCCCTACAAGAAGCTAAGGGACCTGAACCTGTTCAGCCTCCACAAGAGAAGGCTGAGGGGGGATCTAGTGGCCCTTTACAAACTAGTCAGGGGGGACCAACAGGCATTGGGGGGAGTCCCTGTTCCCCCGAGCACTACCAGGAGTGACAAGAAATAACTGTCACAAGCTGGCAGAGGGTAGATTTAGGCTAGATATCAGGAGGCACTACTTCACTGTCAGGGTGGCTAGGATCTGGAACCAACTTCCAAGAAAAGTGGTACTGACTCCTACCCTGGCGGTCTTTAAAAGGAGGCTGGATGAGCACCTTAACACCTTGCTGGGGTCGTTTGACCCCAGTACTCTTTCCTGCCATGGCAGGGGTGGGCCTTGATGATCTGCTCAGGTCCCTTCCGACCCTACCAACTATGAAACAATGTAACATTCAGTTTATGGTTCAATATGAGCCCCCCACCCCCGTCCTTTCTGCAGTACTGCAATCTGTATTTGTGCATGTGTCTATTCCATCCTACATACAAGGCTCTGTATTTATTTTTAGTAAATTTCATTGAGTTAATTTCTGGGGGAGGTGCCACTGTACTGTTCGCTCCTAACAAATAAATATGAACTAACAGAATTCCACAAACTTTGCAAGGGATGCTTTCATCATGTGTCAGGAAGATATGGGGTATACACTTAAAACTAAATGTATCAAAGTTCTTTGTTGTGAAAATATATTTAATCAGGCATTAAAAAGGACTTCTCATGAAAAGATAAACAGAGGAAAGTAATCCAGCCAGCCAAAGCATTTTTTTCTAAAGTATTTTCCCTCCTCACGTTCCCTTTTACAGGATGGAGAAGGGAAAACTTATTTAACAATAAAAGTGAGACAAAGGCAGCAGTAAATGGATTTTCATATAAAATTGGGAAGAATGAAACCAGTCAACTCAGCAATACAAAAACTATTGTTACCTAAACTAGAGTATGCAACTAAAAAGGAAAGGAAAGTATGTATTAATAGTCCCCTGGCACAGGCTAAATCATGAATATTCAATTTAAAGTTGTTGGGCAGCAACAGTAAATTATAATAATGATTCATTGCACAGGAACCAATAACTTTGTCTCATGATCCATAATCACAGGACAGCAAGCCAAAGGGAGTGTGACTTAGTGAGATGGGCACTGCCTTGGAAGGACCTGCTCTGAATGTGCTTCTGCGTTTTGCATTTAATAATAATTGGACAAAATGGATGCACAGAAGCCAGGGCGATGCGTAGGGGGTGCACACGAGTGCATGTGCAGTGCTCTACTCAGGGTGCACCCCCTACAAGAAGGCAGTGTTGGCAGCGCCTGTGAGCAGTCACTGCTCGCCACCCTGCCACTGACACCAACAACAGTGTCTACAGGCAGTCCGCAATCCCCACTGGTTGCCACTGATGCTGCCAGCAGCGGCTGCGGGTGGTCGCTGACCCTCGGTCGGCGCTTGCTGCCACCCCCCGCCGCTGACAGTGCTGGCAGCATCTGTGGGAGCTCCCCTGCTTATCGCCACCGTGCTCTGCCAGCTGCCGGGGGCATGCATCATTCATTCACAGAAGACAGCCATTGCTCTACTGCAGACAGGAGCAAGGGAACCAAAAGCCAAAGCCCTCCCCCTTCCAGAGCAGTGGCCATCTCACTGAGCCCCACCACCTCTGAACTGCAATCTTCCTTGCCCCCCACCCCCTTCTTCCCTCAAGGCTGTTCAGGGGGCCAACTTCAAGGATGTACTCTAGGAGCAATGTCTTCCTCAGTTTGGTGGCCAGAGCCCTTTGCAGGGAGGCAGAAGATACAGACTCAAGTCCCCTCTGGGTGGATGGGGCCTAAAAACCCAGCTCTCCCATGCTGTGGACAAGTACCCTGATGAGATTAAAAGGTGGGACGACCATTTTCCTCCATTTTATTACTTCCATGGAATTACACACTTTCCCAGGGGGAGCAAGATCTAAACCCTGCATTAATGACCCAAAATGGCATTTACCCATCTAAAGATGGAGCTGGATTTGGGCTTACCTGTTTTAGGTTCTGCCAGCAGGTTAACCACCACACCCAGGCCAGAAATGCTAATGGGCTGAATTTGTGAATGTTCCTAGAATTAGCACATAGAATCATTTCACTATTGTAAAAAGTACCAAGACAATTTCCTCCTCTGGAGTGACCCCCATTGATCATATCACCCACTGTGGAGCTTTTCCACCAGATCTTGTGGAAGCTGGCAGCTGAGCCAGGCTCGAAAAGGGATTGGAGAAATTCTTGGAGGAAAAGGGCATCAGCAGCTACTGGGCATAGGAGTTAGGGGCACAGCACCTGAATCAGAACTTCCTAGACCTTAAAGGCTGGAGGCTGCAAGTAAGAGGAACAGCGGGCAAAAAAAACCCTGGTCATACTCAGTTCACACTCCCTTTCAGCCTCCACTCTCTGCCACTGTGACACGGGTTTTTAATACAGCTTGAATGTATAAAACACTGCCGCAGAAAGCGCCAGAAAACTAGAGCTTCAAGTTGAAAAAGAAAAACAGCTCAAGTTTCATTTACTTGAAACCAAGTTACAGACACCAAAGCAGTAGGTATGACACGACAAGAGGCTGCTGTGCAGTGGGGCAGACCGCTGCTCCCTGTGAGGCCACCTGCCTGGATGCGCCGGTCCAGGCACACTCGAACTGGGCCCCGCGGGGGCGCGGTCCTGCCTCCAGAGGGCGCCGCCGCCCGGGGAGGGGAATCGAGAGAGCATCCGTTAGCCCCAGAGGCCGCCCAGCTCCCCGCTTCCGGTCTCTATGGTCGCCTCCACTCCTGGCGCGTCCACTCTACCCCGTAGCCGCCGCTCGCTGGCCCTGGACTCCCCCACCCACAGGTTCTCTCACCCCCGCCCCGCACACCGGAAGTGGCTTTTCACTCGTTAGCCGCGGCGGGAAGCGGTTCGGGGATGCGGAGACGAGAGCCCAGCAGGTTCCGGAGAGACCCTGGGAGGTGAGTGCGGCCCCGCCC